TATCACTGGTAATTGTACTTGTACGCTTCACCCATTTTATGTCTGTCTCTACTGGGCCTATACCACTCCAACGGCACTGTTTTGCAAAATGACCATGCGCACCACATTTATAGCAAGGTGACGGAATACTGTTTCTCCTGATGTTGGGGGAACGATGGATTCATAGAATTGCACTAATTTTGTACGTGAAGTCTGTCAACTGTATTTGTAAGACGAAAAATCTGTTCTTTCTCTGCAAGTTCGGCGCCATCTGTTCGAGCTCATTGTACACACTGCTTAGCTTTTTGCATACCACTTGAAATGATACAATCATTCGAAGCACCTAAGATTGTACGATAACCATAGGCCTGATCCACCTGCGCACTATGTAATACCGCGGCATGGTTTTTAGGATTTCATACCCGCACAAAATATTTAATATCAGACGGTAGGCCAAAAATACATTTTGTCAAAATGTCTAAATCAGGTGTTTGTAGTTTAGGAGCCTCTTCTACAATTATGATTTAAAACTCCTCCAAGAGTTGGCTTGGCACCAACTGCGTACTGTTAAAAATTTCGGATTGGACCAATAAATTTGAATTGTTATAGTAGTCATTATTGATATATTCAGTTTTGATTGCTTTAAAAAGTTTTCGTCGTTTATTAGGTCCATGTACTTTTGATTGTACCGTATTAAACCGTACTCTTGAAGGGCCAGAGAGTGTACATAAAAGGCTGCTATAACTCGTTTTTCATTTTCAGGAATGTTAAAAACTTGATATGTCATACAGGATGTAAACTTTTCCAAAAATGTTTAAGCATTTTCATGAGCATAGCCACTACTGAAAATTGGCACAGTAATTTCCTTATTAATGATGGAATAGGGACTGTGATATATTGTGAAGTTCGGTCACTTTGTTTTGGCGTCGATGACGGAAATTTGGCATACTGGGAAAGAGATGGTAGCGATTCATCTATATTGTCAAATAAAATGTTGTTTTTGATGGGCCTTCGAGGCGTTTGATTCTGTGTAAAAATCATTGTAATTTCGTTTTTTTCTACTTATTGTCGCTAACGGGTTCTTCATCATGTAAATTCATGATAACTATTATTGGGGCTTGGGAACTATATGAGGTAATATATAATCTTTATTTCTATATATCTGGATAAGAACAACATCTTTTCCTTTCAACCATATGTTTATCATTATCCGGAATCATACATATCATAATATAAAGTCAAACAATGACGGAACAGACATGAACAATCCCTGTTAAGCAATTGCATATATACAACACATTGCTGCTTTTGTAAAAATGTGGTAAAAAATTATGAGGCTTGATACTTTTTTGCACAGTTTTAGTGATTCCCTTCAGGAAAATTATGAATTTACTGCTTTTTAAGACTAACTTAACGTTTAAGATGAATGTTCTTTGAGAAAAGTTAGAGATTTTCAGAAAATATCATACGCTTTATGCTAAATATTTTACCTCGAGCGATAGTGAGGTGTAAAATATCAGCATAAAGGTCATTGACAACCCTTGGTAAAACTAATATAAATTCAAGCCCCCATGAATCATTTCTACCCTTGAAGGAAAAAGTGGCCAACTATTTTGTATTCCCATTATTGTGTACGTTGACGTAAAAGACAACAAAAAAAAAATACAACAAAAAACTAACCGAATTTTGACATGCTTAAACCATTTACAACAACATACTTAAACAGGTTTAAATGAAGTTAAATGAACATGGAAATATTGTGTATTTTTCTGCCAGAAAGGTATGCATTAATCTTTCTTGCAAAATCCAATGAAGTAGGTTGGATGTGTATCGCTTCCAACAAATAAGATCTGTATTACAACCACAAGTAAATATTTAAGTCCTTGTTTGATTTAATTTGTATAATTACGCACTTGATTATTGAAAACCATTGATAAATCTTTCTTTTATTTAAGAACATTGGCTTTCAACAAATTCTTATCATCGTTTGTTTATGTTTTTATGTTTCGTACGTCACAGTTTGAGTCGATGGTTCAGTGACGTCTGTTATACCGATTGACCTCACGTAACTCACTGGTGAAAAGCCTACGACGTGGGAGTATAATTTACGTGGCCCAAACAGATCACGACCCCCTGACAAACAATATATTCGCATTTTTCCATGGGTGTGTACCCCAAGCATTTGAAGAACGTCATAATAGATAATCACTTTTGTAATTTCTTCAAAAATCAGGTTCCGACTTTTGTTAACAAAAAGTATAATAACAAAAATACCGAACTCCAAGGAAAATTCAAAACGGAAAGTCACTTAGCAAATGACAAAAACAAAAGCATAAACACATCAAATGCATAGAAAACAACTGAGTTGGTACAGGCATTTCCTTATGTAAAAAACGGTGGTTTAAACCTGGTTTTATAGCTAGCTAAATCTTTCACTTGTATGACAATGGCATGAAATTCCATTATATTGACAACAATGTGTGAGCAAATCAAACAGACATATTTGGTAAAAATGTCAAAAATTTGGGTAAAATGGTAACACTGGGTTGTAATTCAAATTATTATAAAAACAAACAAAAATGTCAACATAGAAAAACAAAATGGCATGTGGACACTCTATAGACAAAGCACATAAGCCAAAATGAACGACGAGAATACAAGAAATAACCAAAGAACAGTACCACAATGGTAGGATGTATAAATACCCAGACACGCCAAAAGGATGTTACCAAAAGTGGACTAAACAGTAAATGTTAAAAATATACAAGGACATATAAAAGAGCATTTTAATACGTAATTAAGATGATAACCAACGTCACTACCTAGAATCTATACTTCAAACCCATTAGGTATTATTTGTGAAGTTGATACGGAATATTTTTTTTCAAAGTATCCTTTGATGCATTTATTTAAGAAAAAAAAAGAAACAAAAATACCGAACTCCAAGGGATATCCAAAACGGAAAGTCCTTTATAAATAAGCAAAATCAAAAACTCAAACACATCAAACGAATGGGAAACAACTGTCATATTCCGGATTTGGTAATGATCGAGTAAACCGGTTTTATAGCTAGCCAAACCTCTTACTTGTATGACAGTCGCATATAATTCCATTATATTGACAACAATTTGTGAGCAAAACAAACAGACATGATAGGTAAAAATGTCAAAAATTTGGGTTCAGCAAACAACATTGTAATATTATCTCAATCACCATAACACATAGCTATTTCCACAAAGAAAAAACAAAATGGCATATTTACACTCTATAGACAAAGCACGGAATAAAAAAGACCATAGCACAATAACACAACAGCGGGATGTATAAGTACAGAGCCACGCAAAAAGTATATTACCAAAAATGGACTAACAGTTAAGGTTAAACATATACATTTGACAAAATAAAAAGATCACTATACCGCATACTTAAGATAATTAACAACGTCTGTACCTAGAATCTACACTAAAAGATAAACATGTATTATTTGTGAAGTTGATATGAACTTTTTATCAGAAAGGTCTTTTATATTTCAATAAACTGTTTAAGAAAAAGGAACAAGACATTCTTTGACAAAACCCTGATTCTTAAACTTTCTGCTTAAACACTTTTAACATTTTACAAAGTCTGAGTAGCAGCCGTAAGCTCTTGCATACCGAATAAGTTGGGAAATGTATATCCCATATGCAGGTGATGTTGATATATTGCTGCTTAGATTTCTTTAATTTCTATCCGGAGGATATATTAATGAAACCCAATCAGAAAAGTTTGGATTGTTAATGGAAACAACATCAACAATATATCTGAATATGAAATTACATGATCTGTGAAACGTATATCCCATATGCAGGTGAAGTTGATATATTGCTGCTAAGGTCGGAACAATTTATTATTTCAAAATAAAATTCATCTGGTTTGTTATAGATACTGGTACTGAGATGACAGCCTATGTTTAATTCGAGGTATAAGTCTAAAAATGAGGCGGAAGATGCCGTGTCTAATGTTTCTTTAATTTCTATCTGGAGGATATATTAATAAAACCCAATCAGAAAAGTTTGGATTGTTAATGGAAATAACATCAACAATATATCTGAATGAAACTAAATGTTCTGGCTTCTTTGATTTTCTTTGATTTTTGACAAGTGTCTGACGGAAATCCGACTCATATGGAAATTTGAACGGTATCGACCAATATTTCATTGTTTTGATCAATAACATATATTTTCTTATCCACAGGCATTAAAAGGGTACATGGAAGGGCTAAAACATCGTCTGTCTAAGTTTGATCTGTGATTTGAAAAAAATTCCACAAAATAACTTTGAATACAAATTGGTACAAGAGAAGCATATAACTCTAATGACACGGCATATTAAAACAATATTCAACGATCTAATTACAGTGTTGAGATGGTAACCTTTAAGAATATGTTCATTTAAAGATCGATAGGTTCATCCGGATCGTATGTAAATTTCCAGTCTCGGTAAATAATATCTCCTTAAAAAATAAGATGTGCTATCCCGTTTAAAATAAGTTTTCTACAGGTACAACCAAACTTCAAAACCAAATCTTTATATCTATGGAATGATTTAGCAAAGGTTTTAAGTAATTTTGTGGTAACGGAATCCCTGACTTACCAGTAATACATAGATTACGTTCATTGAAATTCAAATCATCACAACAAACACGGGCATAGCGAACGAGCTGTGATATTTAAACCCTTAAGACAGTGCCAAAGGAACATCACCGTCCAAAAAAAAAAATTAACAATAGGGAACAAAAAATCGTTCCTTTTATCATAAATTTTAGTGTACTAGAGCATCCGTGTAAAACTGAAATATTCAAATCTAGGAAAGGGCAGTTATCACCGTTTATATTTGATTTATTTAAAGTAAGTTCTTTTGGATAAATTTCCGAAGTATATTTAGAAAATGTTTGATTATTTAACGAAACAATATCAATGTTTCCTTCCGTGTTTAATAATTTTTTTTTTTAAAGTTTAGATAAGAATTCCAAAATAACTTACTTGATCTATTTATTGCATCCATAACATCTGCAAGCCAGTTTGCCTCATTACCAGTTTCAAAGATTTGTGTTGTTTCTTTCAGCAAGTCTGGTACAGTCATATTTTCCATAACTACTGTTATGACATTATTTGGCCAACATGCAAATTGTTTCATATTTGGGTGAAGTGAAACATCTTCATTTGAGTTCGCTATAACGCATATTATGCTTTTAATAGTGGTACTGCGAAGTTGTTCAAAAGGTACTTGCACTAATTGCATCTTTGGAGTCTGATCATTCTTTGACAAAACATTATCAAACCATTGTATCGCTTTGGTACTCCCCATTACTAAAAGCAATCCTTTATCAATGATTTCATTGCCCTTTACATTTTGGATATATCTTTGGCGGCGAATATAGTGTTCATCTCTGTATCTTAGTACGTATGCCTTAGACGCTACAATATGAATGTGTGAAGTAGAGAAAAATACAGATGTATACCCGTTATTGCTTTTATGACAACTTTTGAATGCACTATTCATTACAAGATGAATAATGATAGAAAATATCTATAAAACATATACACGAACAGCAAAAACAATCTGACAATATTTCACACAATGAGTATTGTATTAATACATTTTGAAGTATTCTGCAAATTTATCGATAGAGAACAGGGAAACAATATCGAAAAATTGTTGAGCCTACTTGTGAATTAACTTTTTTTCCCAATCTTACATGCCGTGTGTGTGTTTTGGTTTAGAAAATAATTCGGGAGAAAGCGTCATTGAGTCAACAAATAAACGACAACAGAAACCAAAGAATATATAATGGGTCACATACAATCTTCAACACAAGACAGGTATCTTTATAACAAGGCAAGTTTTTACATCTGCTTTTATATCTACTTTTTACAACTAATTCATCATTAACATATGACCCAGGAAAACTTATGACGAGGTTTCTGGCAGGCACATTCACATTTGCCAGACGAACTATTTGTATTTAATCAAAACACGTTTGTATGTAGCGATAAACAGATTAACACGTACATCTAAATGATGCAAAAAAAAAAAAAAAACACCAAACAACTCTAAAATAAAGGTTTAATAGATACATATACAAATTAAAAAAAATTTATACATCGTTTTAAAGAATGCTCGCAGTTACTGAAAGCAAGTTCAAAGAACTAAACCTGATGTAAACGTTCAATTAAAAAATATAACGGTCTTTTATATTTGAAAAATAACTGCATACACGTAAAAATGAAATTGAGAATGGAAATGGGGAATGTGTCAAAGAGACAACAACCCGACCATAGAGCAGACAACAGCCGAAGGCCACCAATGGGTCTTCAATGCAGCGAGAAACTCCCGCACCCGGAGGCGTCCTTTAGCTGGCCTCTAAACAAATATGTATACTAGTTCAGTGATAATGGACGTCATACTAAACTCCAAATTATACACAAGAAACTACATTTAAAAATGATACAAGACTAACAAACGCCAGAGGCTCCTGAACGTGCATATCCAATCATCTAGAAAATATCCACCCACACTTATCAGAATGTGTCTCAAGTGACCATGGATTTATTCCTCATGTCGATAGGTTACAAAATGAAATTTTTAATTGCCTTTATTACTTCGAATGAGTAACATGACGGATGTCACATGAACTATTTACCCTAAAAAAATATATGTTTTTGCGGTCTTTCAAATACCCAATTTTGAATTATTGCCATATTTCCCAGGATCCTAAGAAGAAGGATACTACCGGCACTAGCTTATATAGAAGGTTGATTTATATCTTGATCTTTTCCTCAACATTCTTCAGACTAAACTCTGTTACAAAAGTGATCATTTTAGCTTTCTAATTGTAAAGTTTCTACTCTCAGCAACGAGATCCCGTTTGAACCAACGTATAATGTTTACATATCACAACGGAAACGTTGTTCATGTTCATGTTCACACTTAACTGACTTCATTTTCAAAGGTTGTGTTCCTTCAACAGAACATGTGCTGACACATTTATGAGGAAAAATGACTTAAATCAAAACGTCTACAGTTTCTCGGTCACCATTATGAATTGATTAACCGACACGATATGTCTATGTCTCAACTCATCTGTGACACTTTTAACAGTGATGGATCTCTATGTGGCAGAAAATTGGCACCGTTTATGTTATTACTATCACTGGGTCGATGCCTCTGCTGGTAGGCTGATAGTCCCCGAATGTATCACCAGCCCAGTCATGAAAATACGGATTTTGAAATATTATAATTTGTTGTTACAAATTTTTGGAAATTATTTAAAATTAAGGAATGTATCTTCCTCATGCAAAGCTCTGATTCCTTGCTCGGCTTTGGCTACACTTGCATTGTCCTTTTGGGGTTTTAGCTCTTCAAGAAACTTTGGAATCTCAAATATTTAGGCCTCGAGCATCAATGAATAGATATTAATTGTCGAAATGCGTATCTGGTGCAGGAAAATTGGTACCGTTTATGTCATTATTATTGTTATGTGCCTTTTTTCGCTTTTGTAATGGCATTGTCCTTTTACTGGACTTTATTTTAATCACCCCTTTTTTAATATAAACATTAATAACCGGCAAACGTAGTGTATTGATTGTCAAAACAATAGTACACAGGCTTAGATTCTTCTGTTATGCGTCTTACGAATCCAGACTAAAGGATTTGTTTTTATATCGCGGACGATAATATCCTTTTGGTGTCTTTTGCCTCTCTTTTATGAAATAGATATGCCCTAGCTATATAGTGAAATTATGGAAGTGTATTAGCGCCACACATTTTTTTTATATTTTTTCCTATGTTTACGTCATAACATTCGTACAATTGTGAAGCTATTAAGTCAAATAGACAAAATGATCTTTCAGCTTAAAAATGAATTATTTCTAATAAAAAAATAAATGAATTTTGATGTAAGAAATCGTTTGTTGAAATCTCAGAATATGATAAAGATTATTTGATAAAAAATCGTGGGATTTGAAATTTCAATCTAGTGAAGTATCTATTTGAGATGCTTGGGTAGCAATATGAATGTACATAATTATAATAATAAAACTTTTTCATCTACTCATTAGTATGCCATGATAAGCATTTTACTTTGCAATAAGTACAAAGGGTGGTAAATTTTAATATATGCAGCCTCCTCCATTCATAACAGCTGCTTCCATTGAAACTTAAATAAGAAATAAGATTAAAAAAAATGTTTGCGTTATTTCGTAAATGTTTGCGTTATTTCTCAAAGGTTTGCGTTATAAAGTAAACAAAGGAAGACATATAAGTAAACAAAATGTGTGGCGCTCCCGTACTTCAAGTTACCTGCCTTTTAATCAATAATTTGACACTCTATTTGAATTGAATATACAACTTACGCATTGTCTGTACTGCATCAATAAATTCTGGTACCCAATCTTCGTTGTTTCCAGTTGCATCAATAGGTTTTGTTCCTTTCAGTAATTTCGGTAAATTCATTTGATTTATCAGTACTGTTAATACATTTGTCGGCCAGAGTTTTATGTGCTTAATGACCGGATGAAAAAGATATTCAAGTTGAAAATCTTCTGAAGGTACACATATTATCCCTTTCAGACTATCGGTATTCAAAGATATCCAAGAATTTGGTTGTACACGGATCTCGAAGTCTCTAAAACTTGTCAGTTTTGATTTATATTTGGAAAGAATTGAATTAATGAATGAAACATGCTTGAAACTGCCTAGAATGAAAAATGTTCCATTAGTCTCGTCACAATAAGGTTGTCCATGTATTAAATTAAAGTTTCGAATCCGCATAGAATTTTTCTTCATGAAAAGTGTTAAACTATACAGCGTTGATCCTGCAAAATAAGTTGCATAGCTGTTAAACACAATAGTACGATAAACATCTAATACTCAGATACATATAAGAACATTTTGAATAGCAATATTGCACCTATTTGTTGTGGTAAAGAAATGTTTTATAGAAATACCTCGATCTACTGCTTAAATCGTCAAATATTAAGTAAACGTTAACGATTACACCTCATCAGAGGCTAAAAACATTTTTCTATTTTTCATTTTTAATCAAATTTCCAAAATCACAAAAACAAGACAAAAATTGCACTATAAACTTGTTCCGATAGGTTTTGTGTTTGATACCAGAAGACTGAAAAGTTTATTGACGAGAACTGTTGACGTAAGCAGAAACACATTATTCAATATTAAAAGAAAGACCTTGTGTCATTGGTCAAAGTTATAATATATATTTCGATAAGAAGTCTCTAGATTTATTGTAGTTTCTCGAAGAAGCTAAAATTTGCAATCATTCAAGAAAAAATATTCAATCTTTAGGATCAAACCCTCATTATAGGTTTTACACAAAAGAAACATTTATTATGTCATTTGGTCTCTGGTGGAGAGTTGTCTCGTTGGCAACTATACCTCATCTTATTTTTATATGATCAAAGATCTTCAAAAAGATATCAAAGTCGCTTGAACCATGTTAGAAGTATATGTGCACATTATCAATATTTTATTTCACAAATATAATTGATACAATGTGTAAAGTAGCCGTGAAGCAGACACAATAATGATTCGTAATGCTGGCCAATAAGCCATGAACATAAGCTGAAGGCTAGTGAAACATATCAACAGGACACATAAACTATACACCAAATAAAGCTGACGTTTTTTATGTAGTTAATGAAAATAAAACGAATCAAATAAGAAAAATTAGTCAAAAGTAAAACAACAAAAATACCAAACTCCAAGGAACAAAATGGAAAGACCCTAATCAAATGGCAATATCCAAAACCCCAAAACATCAAACTAATAGAAAATGACTGTTATATTTCTGACTTGGAATATGCATTTCATTATGTAGAAAATTGTGGATCAAACCTGGTTTTATTGCTAGTTAAACCTTCAACTTGCATGATAGTATCATAAAATTCAATTATATTGATAACAATGAGTGAACAAAACAAACAGATATAATAGGTGAAAATGTCAAAAATAGAGGTACAACAGTCAACATTGTTTTATTTTTTAATCATTATAAAAACAAACAAATATGTCGACAAAGAAAAACAAAATGGCACATAGACAAAGCACAAAAGCAAAAATGAATGACAAGAATACAAAAAATTACCATAGCGCAATAAAATAATGGCGGGATGTATTAGTACCAAAACACGCCAAAAGTATATTAACAAAAATGAATTAAACAGTAAAGGTAAAAAATTTACAAAGACAAATTAAAGAACACTTTAACATGTATAACACGTAATTAAGATGACAACGTCAGTACCTAGAGTCTATACTTCAAAACCATCATGTATTACTTGAAAGTTGATACAGAATATTTATAAACAAAGTATTGGTATCTCCCGATGAAATTTGTCAGAAAAAGGACGAAAGTTTCCTTGACATAGCCCTGGTTCATCTTTTTGATCAGACACTGGTGACGTTTTATAAAGTCTTAGTAGCATTGTTAGCTCTTGGATAACGAATGAGTTGGTAAATGTATATCCCATATGCAGGTGAAGTTGGTATATTGCTAGTAAGGTTGGGGAAATGTATAAGTTCAGAATTAAAATCGTCTCGTTTGTCATAGATTCTTGTACTGAGATGAAAAATTCGTAGTATAAGTCTAAAAATGAGGCGGGGGAAGCCGTGTCTGTTGTTTCTCTAATTTCAAGTTCTGGAAGATATATTAATGGAACCCATTCAGAAAATTTTGGATTGTTAATGGAAAGAATCTCATTAATATATCTAAATGTGAAGTTAAATGATCTGGCTTCTTTTATCTTTTGTTTTTGTGACAAGTGTCTGAAGAAACAATTACTGATATAAAAATATGAAGAGGTCGACAAAGAAAGGCGCACAGTTCGTTCCCATATGAATTCCGACAATTTGTTGAAAAGGTTTACCTCCAAATTCAACAGATATATTGTCATTAAGAAACTCCAGCATACTGATGACCTGCTCCTCTGTGTAGCATGTTTTTCCTTTTTGTCCTCATTAACAAAATATGCCGTATGGTATCCCAAAGTAATATATTTATAGCGTATGCTACCATTTTGATATTGGCGATTTTTCAATATTATATGGGGAATGGTGGTATTCATGGTTGAAAAATCAAAAGTTGTGATATAATTAATTTCAGAGAAACACCTAGAAATAAAATTCTCCAAAAATTCTTTAGAGTTTTTTAGAATCCACATATGGTTTATACCACTACGCGAGTAAATAGTTTCACAGTATTTCTTAAGACCCTCTTCCACTGCGGACAGAATATTTGTCAATCTAATATACAATTCCTTTGCAGAACATGCAGATTAACGGCGAACAACCCACGAAAGGGACACGGCCAATAAATCTAATCAAAGGGATATTTACGCGTCATAATAATTCTTTACAATAGCTTTAGTTGATCTTCTATTATAGGAAAACACTACATATTTGTTCTTATTTCTATGGGTGCCAAGTCATACCGGGATTTACGGAAACACAGAATTGTAAATCAGGTAGAAAAGAATGACCCAAATGTCAAATGTAAGGAAGAACTGCTCACCCTTCCAGAGCACCAGGATTTATTACCCTTTTTGTAGGATTTTTCGTATCTTTTCTCTTTTTTTAAAACATTGGTAGTCCCCAATTTCAATTTGTGCTTATGACTTTTATCGCAACAGTCCCGATTTAAGTAGATTGTTTATATTTTGATGTGTAAATTGTTTTTAAAATTTGCATTCGTTGTATATACTCTAGCAGATCATATGATTTTTTAGTATCCACGTCTGGTTAACTCTCCCTTGCGTTAGAGCAGGTAGTTATACAGTAGCTTTTAAACCCGGTTTTGATTGCTGATGAAATACATGTAGATTTTACTAATTTTGAAAGGAAGAGGTTTTGTGGAGTATTTAGCCGAGTGAAGAACATTTGAGTTTTTCATCTTTGTTTCAAATTTGAAAAAAGAAACTAAAACCGAATGATAACTGTTTAGAATATCCTCTTTTATAACTGTCGTTGGAGTGCATATTTAGTAGAAGGGAATTCTCAACAACAAAATACTTTTTCAAGCAATTAATATCATGTATAATACACACAACAACTATATTGATTGAGGCTTTTCGTTCCTGGTTTCAATAACACTTTTGCAATGAATGTATGACGAGTGCTTCACACCAATATGCTCACCGATGAAAAAAGTAACACGACCGTTCAAAGAACCATTAATTCTTATTATATATTATTGTATGAACAACTTCACAGAATTAATTCTATTGGAAGGAGCATCTACATCTCTATATGCATCATCGTCTCGCATGATATTTAACTAACCTTAAGTATTTTAAAGTCGCTTTTCCAGTTTATGATTTACGTGCAATTGGCAACACATTTCGTAGAGACGAGTTGTTGTCAATGCTTAGGTCACCAGTCGTGTTGAAGGCCTCATTGTGACTTTAAAATGAAGAACAGCAATACAAGCGCTGTTCCTTTGCTTATTGTGTGGGTTTTTTGCTGTCCATGTACTAATTTATGTCAATGTGTGGATACCCAATATCCCTTCTTTTTCTATAAATGCAAAAAATGGTCATCGCTGCTTCTATGAAACCTTACAAAAATATTAAATCAGATAAATTTTGTTAGGTCTTGAGTCTTTGAACCTAAGAATCTGGTGAGTTTTGTTTTGCCTCAGTGACAATGTGGGGGCAAAGGGTACCTGGGCGTGCTCACAAAGTGTTTTTCATTGAAAATGTTATCGCAATTTTGGAATGTTACAGCTGTCATTCTAGCTGATCACAAGAAACATATTATCACATTTCAACATAAGTTCCTAATAATGATCATAATAAGGTTCAATTGAAAACTTCCCAGTACAGTATGTAAATCTGGATGTATCTCACAAAGAAAAGGTTATGAAACCGTTTTGTTTGCAATAAATTATTGTAAAAAATAAGCATTTAACTTATCTTAAAATGATACTTTAAAATACAGTTGAACAAAGAACGTACCTGTCATAGCTATAGCATCCATCACGTTAGAAACCCATTCTTTCTCTACAACACTAATACTGATTTGTTTTGATTTTTTCAACACATCTGGAAGCATAATGTGATCCCTTTTTATTGTAACGAATTTTTTTGGTAACAGTTTAGACTCACTGAGACATTCCAGCAATGGTTTTAGATTATAAGATTCTTGTGATGACATAGAAGCAACAAATACAATATGTTTCACTTGGTTGAGAAGCTTTTTTGTCATTTTTGTGTTCTGTATCTGACAAATTGGTGTAAGACTTTCACAAACAGTTAATATTGATTCAACCCACTCTACATCATCGAAACATCCCAGTAGTACCATATTTGTATGATCGAGATTCGTTATCGTTATCCCTTTGCTGTCATCATCATTGGTACGAAAAAATGGCAGTTTAGAAGGTGGAATCAATGCATTATCTTTAATCTTCATACTATACACCATTAGTACTACAATAACACAAAAGAAGAAAATATAGATATGTATTCGTGTACAGTGAAAACAAATGTCTGAATCAATTTCCATTTTGAAGAATGTCAATCTAGATTTTAACTAGCAAAGAACATTCTTACATTTTGATTGTGTATCTCAAAAACTGTTAGCACGCAACTGATCTTATTTTTATTATCTTCAATGATAATCTCCGAAAATTGACTCTTAATGAAATAGTGCTCGCATGGTAGAGGTTGGCTTCACTGTGAAATTTAGTCATTGTTCGACGTGAAGAGAAGAAATCGTAGATATTCGTAAACCATTTAGAACAGACAAAATCATCCTACATTACCATATTTTAAGATATCAGTGTGTGCAACAGGTAAACAATTTATCAAGTCTCTTTAAAGTAAAACATATGTGAGTCAAAATACTTAAACGTTTATATCCATATATACAAAGGAAGAAAGATATATATTCAAAACATCGCAGGTGACCGTTTCTAAAGTTGCAAATCATACTATACATTATACTAGTAAAAAGTATAGCAAATATACTCCAAATCGATTTCAAAAAGGGGAAGTCTACATAAACTGACAAAATCAAACGCTATAAATGAATATAACAAGTGAAAAACAGCTACCATAGATATGCTAAAGTCACATTGTTCCAAATGTTTAAATTTGTAGTATTGTGTTGTAAATGTAGTATTTGTTTATAAATTTGGTCAAACTGGTCTTCCTAAAATACATGCTGTGTATGCTGTGAATATATGAACTATGTATTTTGTTTTGCAGCCTGATTTTTAGATGTCCTTTTGGTCATTATTTTCTTTACGTGTTTTGGTATTTATGCTTCCTTGGCTTTCAAATATTTGGCTTTGAGTGTTCCTGATTAAGATAAATCAAGAAAAGCACCTGAAGAAACGCTTTGCTATGTGTCGTTGTAAAGACTCTTTTAACTTATTTGCTTAGAGGTTGTCCTTTTTTTTTTGCCTTGATAAATTCAATAATTGGTCGAATAGAGACTTTTTTTTTCTCTTACACCTCTGATTCACCTAAGATGGAATATTGAACGTTTTTTCGTCTGTGTTATATATGGAGTTATAACCTAATTATTGAATATTTGTTTACTACTTTTTATTTTAGATACATAGATGAATGTCAAATGACCTGAGCCGTCTTTGGCAAATTAAATATGAATTTGGGCCCTTAATTCTTCTTAAACTTCGTACTTAATTTCACTTTTCAAATTTTTTGATTTGAGCGTCACTGTTGAGTTATTTGTGATAAAACGAGCATCTGGCAAACGTAATGAAAAGCCTCTTTATTTTCGGAGATTTTTTTTAGCCACAACTTGGTCGTTGCCAATTGTGAAGACGATATCATTTTTTAGACGATTCCATGTTTTATACGAAATGCACGTCTGGCGTATCAAATTATAAGCCTGGCATCTTTGATGAGTCTTTTTTCCCCCCTCTAAACCAATGGCTGTTGTATGAATGATCGGCATATGGATTTAACAGTCAACTTTGGTTATTAGTAGCAACACACATTATATGATAGTAGTGCAAATGAAGTGGGATAACGGTTTCGGTTAGAAAAAAACATGAAAGTCATAGATTTAGATTATTGAAATCGTTGTCCTAATATCTCTTTTATTCAGAATTTTTGTAAAAATTTGTTATCAAAATTACATTTGGAACCATTGTATTTTCCATCTATGTCAGGCTAAGTTCAAATGTCATAAAAATCTTAAAAATGAAACCCAAACAAATGTGCGATTGACATGTTAATGCATGATATATTTCTTGCAAACTTATTAATAAGTATTGTCTATATGTTACCGCCAACTTCTCTTTCGATGCAATCTGGATTGTCAGTAGTTTCATTGATTGGACTTTCAATTGCTGTAGTGCTTCTATCAATCATTGTTGGTACAGCTTGTACAGCTCGATTAATCGTTGTTGTGTGGTTAATCTCATCAATGGAATATCTAACCGACCCTGAAATAAAAAAGCTACTTATGAACCTGGTTAATGAAAATATGATACACTTAAATAGTGGAATATAAAATCGAGAGCATACATTGAGGTCCATGAATATGACAAATTCTATGTATTTTTCGTTTATATCAGCGACAATAAAGTAATGGTTACTTTGGGGATCATTACACAAAGTTTGCAGACATTTGGAGTATAATAATACTCGGAAAAGAACAATATGTATTTTAAGAATACCAAACACAAAAAAGGCAATGTGTTAAGCTTCGAGATACTTATACTGAATTGAAGAATAACAATACTGTAGTTGACAAATTGAGACCATTTTTTTTGAAAAGATTAGAATGAATCATTAGAATTATCCGGACACGTCAACTGCGCTTGCATAACGTTGTACCTAATGATTCAGATCATCAACCGTATAATTGACAACACATGTTACCAACCAAAAAGGACGTTTCATGTTATCTGCATTAAACAATTGTTCTGAAAATAAACAATTTACAGATTAACACATCATGTGCCACTTTTTTTTTAGCAAGGACTGAATACCTTGTAAGAGTCCTGAGTTTAGCCCGGTTTTTTTTATAAAATGAGAAAAGCCCCATGTTGTATATTTGTGTTCTGTTGTTTGTCTTTTCGTATGCTGCAATATACCCAATACTTATCTTGCATGAATATACGGATATAGTTTATTTGAAATTTGCTGTAAAAAAATCAGAAACAAAATTTAAAATAATGGAACGTATCTCCTACATGCAAGGCTCGGATTCTTTGTTCATGATTGGATATACATTTGTTCTTATGTTTTTTTTTCTAGAAGCTTTTGAACGTTTGATTTGACCTCAGGCATCATTAAAGAGTCGAAATGCATATCTGATGCAGTTAAAAGGACACCGTTAATAGCATAACTACCACTGAGGTAGTACTTTTTGTAGTTGAATGAAAGATCCCAAATGGTATCACTAGTCCATTCGGTGTTCGCATAAACGTTTTTTTTAAGAATTATTCTAAAATGGGGAATTTATCACCCCAATTCAAAGATCTGATGCTGGTTCTGCTTTAAATTTACCAGCCAAACGTTCGACTATATTAACAGACGGAATAAATTATAAAACAACAGCAGTATTTCTGATTTTTTACAGGCATTTCCGAAAAAAAACCTGATGTTTAGTAACATAAACCTCTAACTTGTATGCCAATTGTTAATAATTCAGTTATATTGACAAAATGAAGTGATAAACCAAAACAGACGTACTCATGATACATTTTTTGTACACAGGAGTCAAAATTGTGTAAATATACATCATAGATATACGGTACTTGGTGTTACACCACCAAATCATAATACGTCATATCAGGTTGCATACGAAAAAGGGTCGAAAAAAATATGCACTTGAAATTGACAGTTGTAGAAAATTAATCCTACATTTCTTTGCAGTAAAAAATTTCTGGGTCATCAACATATATCTTGGTTGTTTCAAAGCACCATTATTTTTTATTCGGTGTTACTATAGAATATTTTGGAAACTTGAGGTTACATGGTTACTAAAGCTTGTACACAGGTAGAAAAAGGTGAACATTTGATTGGTTAACTTCCAGTGATGGTTATTTTCTTATATACAATGAAATGTTATGTGATATTTTGTCTATAGAACTGGACAGGATAATAAACTTAACTCATGCCAAGTATTTCTTTATTTGAAACAAAGATATATTCCTGAAAATTTTTTGAAAAGTGCAAATTTAACAAAGGACAATTTAGGAAAATCAATGGTGGTATTACACCTACTTCTGAATTTCAAAATGCAAGCACATATACAAATAAATCTGACAAAGACGAAAAAATCCACAAAGATAATCCTTTATATAAAAGTATATGTTTTGGGCTTTGGACGTTCCTTTATCAGGATGGTCCAGAGTGGTGATCTGGAAGGAACAGGTTTTAACAATGTTGTTTTCATTTTGTTTATCCTTGTCTTTATTATTTCCTTAAGTTGTACTTTATCGGGAACCTATATGTAAACTATGTACGGTATGTACTAACAACCTTCAAAACTTTTTTGTTGGCGTCTTTAGATTTGGTGGTATGTTGGAAGTTTCAGTTTTTGGTGTTGTATGTCTGTGAAGTATGTTTACAGTTTGCTGCTGGATCCCAAATATAGTCACATTAAGCTACAAATGTATTATGTCTGTTTGGGTTGCATACCCAATTTTGTCAATAAAAACGGAACTATGATCAACTGTTATACAAATGAGAGCTTTAGCTAGCTATACAACCAAGTGTAACCCACATTTGTCTTATTAAAAATCCAAGTACCAATTCAGGAATATGACAGTTGCTTTCCATTCCTACCAATCATGTTGACTTACTCTAACGTTTGATTTTGTCAGTTTTTATAGACTTCCTCCTTTTTAAATTTACCTTGGAGTTCTGTATTTTTGTTATATATTTTTTACGATATCGGTTTTTATGAAAATATTTTTCTAATAATTTGCTTTGGTCTTAAGACTTCTTGATTTAAATGGAAAGTGCCGCTCACGGAAAAAAGAAAAAAAAAACTCATTTTGAAGTGTAATTTTTCGAACTTAGAGAAAGCCACATTCGAAACATATTTTGCACTACTTAACAGAGGTGAGATATGTATCTATATGGATAAATCTGTGTTTAACACACAATCTGACAAACTATAATTTGCATTTTGATAAATGATATACACAAAATGCACCATAAAATTCATCAAATAGTTAATCTTGTTTTATTATTCATTAAAGAATACAGTCTCAGGTCATGTCTTTTACGTATATCACTGATAAGTTATTTCAGAAAACGAATATAACTTTAAAAAGTTTAAGGATAATCTCATGTTTAAAAAAAAGTTTAGTGGAAGGAAACAAAAACAGTTTTTATGATGCAATCTAAAGGAAATCAAATAGACATAAAAAATGTAAACAACATTTTATAAATTTCGTGCGTCCGTAGCCATACTTGATGATTAATTTTAGATTACTCTTGTTCCTTTGTCGGTATTGTTTTTTCTATGATAAAGTCTTTCAAACAAATGTTCAAATGTTTAATGCTGGTGTCATTCATAATTTGTCACTACAACATTTGAATTATGTTTTAAGTTTCTAAAAAAAGTGGACTCAAATTATGTAAAATTGAAATAATGAACCTGTTCAAGGCAGTTAAAAAAGTCATTGATTCGAAAGACTTGTTCGAATTTGATTTAGTGCAAATGGATGTCACTCTTGCATACAAATGACACTTTAAACGAACGTATAAACATTGCATTCAAGTTCAAACTGCTATGAAGATTTGAAATTATCAATAGCAACAGTCGTTAATCAATAATATAGTGACTGCTATCGAATGCTAACCAACCCAAACATTAATCTGAAACAGTCACAATTGTGCCCCTCTTCTTGCCGACTTGTTCTGTATTCTTATGAGGCTGACTCCATACAGGTACTTTTAGGAACAAAGAAAAGAAGTTAGCAATATCCTTAAACTTTAGTGTCCGCTACATAGATGATGTTCTCTCACTAAATAATTCAAAATTTGGTGATTATGTTGAACGCATCTATCCCATCGAACTAGGGGTAAAGGATACAACAGATACAGTTAAGTCTGCCTCATATCTTGACTTACATCTAGATATTGACAATGAGGGTCGCTTGAAAACAATACTTTACGACAAAAGAGATGATTTCAGCTGCCCAATTGTGAACTTTCCATTTCTATGTAGCAAAATTCCAGCAGCGCCTGCATACGGAGCATATATCTCCCAATTGATACGATATTATCGGGCTTGTATTTCCTATCATGATGTCCTTGATAGAGGGTTGCTGCTCACAAGGAAGCTATTAAACAAAGAGTTCCAAATGTTGAAGTTGAAATCATCCCTTCGTAAATTTTACGGACGCCATCACGGGTTGGTTGACCGTCATGGAATATCCGTTTCACAGATGATATCGGATATATTCCTTATGTCATAACTACAATCCCGTTCCCATTTCACGAATGTGATTTACCGAATTAGACTATTAACCGGGTTTGTAATAACTTGAGCAACAAGACGGGTGCCACATGTGGAGCAGGATCTGCTTACCCTTCTTCGATCTATGAGTATGAATGTCCCTCGGGTATCTTTCGCCCTACTTTTTTGAGCTAAACATGATCTGAAACGTCTGAACAACAAACATAATTTCAGTTATTTTTCAGATTTTATCGAGTTCGTTTAGAAATGTCGTACTGTACAGAAAACTCAATTGGAGCACTGTTCGTTAGCTTTTCAAACAATTCAGTGTGTTCGAAACACTAAGGTGTTTCTACACCAAGATGTAGATTATTTTAGGTTTTTATAGCTTCACAACACCGTGGTTGGCCTTCCAACTAATTTTAAACGAGCGCCACCGAATTCGAAGAGTCTCGTGTAGACGAAACGTGCGTCCAGTGTACAAAACTATCAGCTTGTCATCTTTGATTATTTGTAAAATGATGAATGCCAATTAACGTTGTCAGTAAACAATTTTATGAACATGACTAATTTGAAAATATAATAAACACCAATCAAAAGATGCATAGGGCTTGTATCCTCAAATATATATTTAAACATACGCGTGTAGAAGGTAGTAACGGCAATGTTAAAATGAGCTGTAATATAAGGTTTAGCCTTTTATTAGACCCCCGTCTGTTTTTAAACTGTTTACTTTGTTACCCCGGTTTTTTAAAATTCATTTTGTGTCATTGTTCTTTTTTCAATGAAAATGATCAGTTTCTGCGTTTTTGTTGTTGTTTGTTATTTGCTAAGGTACATATACATCATGGGTTTTCATTCTTTTGTCGTGGATCGTTCCTGAAGGAAGTTAAGGAAGAAAAGCGCGTCAAACACCTAAATTCATATTTATTTAGAGTGATTTCGTATATTTCAAAATACATCATTACAAATGCAAGTCAAAATTCTATGAGTGTAAATCATGACGTTGCTCGATTTCTGTTT